ATTTAGGGAGGCAGTGCCTCTTTCTCTTTGGGGCTCGAATCTCATCCTGAACGTGGTCATAATCCATCTTTTGTATCGCATCGTGAATCATGAACCTGTTGTCGTAAAAGACCATCACATACTATCATCACATGGGGTCGTATCTTCATGGGCTCAAATGAGTTCTTCAATCACGCTGCTTCCTTTTCTAGCCATACAACCAAGCTGCTTCCTTTTGCAGGGCATCCCCAAACTTACAAATATCTTAAATTAGGCTTCCTACAAGTCCATAACTTCAAATAGGGTATTTAGTATAGCTTTTTGCTAGGAACACAATTCACTATATAAACCATGGTCTTCAGGGCTCCATATAGAGAAACATGCAAATTTGAGTTACAAACAATGCTCCTTATTTGAATAATCTTGGCAACCTTTCTCTTGAGATGTGCTCTAGCCTTCAATGCCACAACATAAAATATTCTCATTCACATTTTCATGTTTTACATTACACACATGAAGGGATAAAAGAGATTCAACAAAAAATAAAATCCAAATTCAATTTATAAGAGACCATTACATAATTTTTCAGAACCCATAACAAAATTACTATGAAATAAGAAGTAATTTTCATTGCCAAAATTAAATTAAAACTATAAATATATAATTTTCATACTTACCCAACAATTGGCATATTATGAGTATCTCTCAGGTCCACTACAAAAATATTAGCTAGAATTAACCTAACTACTCATATCACCTTTATTTCTTCCTCAACTTCATTTGCCATTACAAGCCTTCATTTTTCTGCCTCAACTTCATTTGCCATTACAAGCCTTCATTTTCCATCAATAAGTATCTGATTATTGACGGATACCTCTATTTTCCAACCACTTCTTATATTTGAAGCAATCTCTCTTCAAATGCCTCTTCTTTCTACAAAAGAAGCATTTTCTTGTAGAAATAAGCATTTTCTTCCTTACGGTCATTTTGATTGATAATTTGCATGTGTCCCATGACATTTATTTTCTGATGCTCCAAGGTTCCTTTTCTACGTGAGCTAGTCTCTGCTAAATGGACAACTTCTAGCTTATTTTGATTTAATCTTTTTTCTTCTTGAACACAAATAATTTGAACCTCATTCAAATTCCACTTTTCTTTCTAAGTATTATGAGCAAACTTGAACTGATCATACAGCACAAGCAAAGAGTGGACAATGAAATGCCCCCTCCATGTTCATAGATTTCAACTAATATGTAATATCAATCATTTGCATAATATTGTCCTTAATAGAGTTGTGACCATCATACCTCATGGTCAGTAATTTTGTTATAGGGTGTTCGCCAGGGCTTTAGTGTGACCTACAAGTTGTTCTTATACCTTGCTCATGAAACTCTTAGCATTATCCACATCAGGAATAACACTTCGTATGGTATTACCGATAGAACCCTTCATAATCATAAGGCTCATCCTGTTAGATCTTTCCCATTTTGCTTATTTAGCTTTTATGTTTAGTAGTGCTCCCGTTATTGGAATCGGGAGGTTCATTTTCACGCAAGGCTAAATCAAGATCCAAAATGCCTAGAGTGATCTCAATATTTTGCTTCAATTAGGGAAATTAGATCCATTTAGAGTTTCAATTCCAACTAAGTATCCAGTAATTGCAAAAGGATTTAGAGCTACCAGGATTTTAAAACAATTATGCTCACAAAACAATATTTACCCATAAAACCGAGTAATTAATATTTCATTATTTTTAAAACAAATACCTGTAGTAAACCAATGGATCATCACAATCCCTCATTTGGGCCGAGATTATAACATGCAAATGGTTTGTTGTTTGTGAACAATCAATTCTTATGCCCACCACAGGGCTGGTTGATCACAAACATTATAAATAATAAAGACGTTACTCCTTGGGTTTAACGCCATCTAAATTTATAGTGCTTATAGCAACCATCTTATTCTGCTAAGTCTTATAGATAAATAGCCACCTTTGGATTTGATTTTTATCTGTAATAGCTCAACGTCAATTTGTGGGCTCCTTGATGATTCACACCTTTTTTTTTATTATTATCAAAATAAATCATAGCAAAAATTATTATTGGGAATAATCAAATATTATAAATCATCTAGGTTCTCATAATTGTATCACTTTGACAGTTACACAATCATTCCAACTTGTTTGGTTTAAAATACGGATCACCCATCCTTAATTGACTAAACCAATTTAACTTGGCCGTTATTTTATTTTATTTTATTTCTATAAGAAAATTTCAGTCTGCTAAAGGATAAGAGATTGTACAATAAACAATAACATAAATAATTAAGCAATTTATTTTTAAAATAAAAATATACATTTCCTAAATATTAAGACATGGCATCCCACATAAGACACCTTATGGAGAATTAACAAGAGCGGGACCATCACCTTATATCCATATTATGTTTCTTTCCTTTATCCTAATCATCATAGGTAGTTATCTTTTAGAGAGAGCGAGGGAGATGATTATCACTAATCTTTATCTTAATATTGGATAATCAATTCACTTAAATCGTGGATAGTTTTAAATTGGGGATATTTTCTAACGATTCCTAGTTATGAAATTCAAAATTTTAAAAAGTACAATCAAGCATATCTATAAATACTTAAAAATATTGAAAATAGACTGTCCAGTTAATTTACTGCTAGATACATATTTTTAGGGCTTGAACTTCTTCATTGCTTTATATTTATATATCTTAAGGTCGAGATGATCAAGTTAGGGGAATTTTTAGTGTCAAAACACACTCTTTTGAAGAATTTTTAAGGTGTACCATACTTTAATAGTGTAAGATTGAAACATTATATAAACTTTTTCCTTAAAACAAATTCAATGAATCTAAATGCTGTTTAAATCGATTTGGATTGAACAGGGGCCGGACCGCTTCGAGCGCCGGTTCCGTCGGATAACAATTCTCCAAGGTACAAACTGGGATATGGGCCATATGTGTAATTTCACCTTTCTCCTTTGGCGCCATTTAGAACCCAGGCTACATAAACACTGTCTCGCTTGAATTGAACTTCACCCGTAAATGAGAGGCCTTCTTAGAGGAGCTACCTTCTCTCTACGCTTCTCTCAAAGGTACATCCTCTCTTCGATGCCTTAAAAGGTTCTCTTTTGGTTTTCATCTTATTTTTTTATAGCATTTTTGCCCAGATTTTGTCTTCGTTTCTTATGTAACATGAATCAGAATGTTCTTATCGTTAGTTCATCTCGCCCAGGAGTAATTATGTCAAAGTTAGTAAATTCTTTTATCTCGTTTCTGGATTTTTTTCGGAATTAGGGCTATATCTTTAGTTCTCTTGAGAATGTTCATATCTTTGCGTTGTATTGATGAAATATGAATGTAAACCTCGTGCGAGTTTCATGTGAATTTTCACTTTTTTTGGCAAATATAATGTTCTTTCTCTGTATTTGATGAAAACCCTGTGTATTCTGGTTTCCAACTGTTGAATAATGATTGAGGTAAAAGTGTTGCTCAGGACTTGGGATATTCAAATATTGTTGTAGATATTATTTATTATTACAACTAATCTTGACTTTGTCAAGATTACCGAGAGAAGAAGCCGTTGTAACTGTGTAACTATTTTTTGATTTTTGAATTCCCTTCTTCTGTGGGATTCTCTTGTTATGCCTTTTGTATATTTATACGTTTCCTCTTTGAATAGAATAGACATACTCAATTCAGAGTTTACATGGTATCAGAGAAATTTCGATTTCTTCATAACAAGTTGGGTGTTCTGACCCTCACACTCCAACTTGAGGGGGAGTATTACAACTAATCTTTGACTTTGTCAGAGTTTACATTTATAGTTTGCTATTTAATGCTGTTCATTGTTACAACTTGTGCCGATCTTGTTTCCCATTGTTTGAATCATAATCCTTGCAGAATTTGTTTGTATTTATTTTCTTGTTAGATGTCATTTTTTTTTCCTTCAGAAATTTTGACTGAATCTCCGTATTGTGGACTTCAATCCTGACAATTTATCTCTGAACATTCCCAGATTCAATGCATTTCATTTTAAGAACATTTCCCCTTTACTAGTGGCATTATGTGCTGTTTTTGTATAATATTGCTGAATTTCTTTTATACGTAAAATATTGCTCAATTTTCTCATAGATACGTGCTTCATATAGTTTCATAATTGTACATACTCGATTTGCATTCATTTGATCTACATGTTGTGATTTATTGGGATCTTTTGAATTTTAGGGTTATTTCTGCAGTTTGTTGTAAGGTGTTCTGATCCTCTTCTGATATCGATGAAATACAGATTACATGTAAATTTTATCCATGAAGGACAAATTCCATTTGAACCTTCATTGTTTTTTTGGCAATGTATGTTCCTTGTGTTTGATGCATAGCTTTCATGTTCTTATTTCACGTCATTCTATTGCAACTGATACAAAAGTTTGTTAATAATTATAGATATTCAAGTGTTGTTTTATTGACTAATATATCGACTGATGTTTTAATGCTGTAGAATTTCACAAATTGTGTAGAGTTTTGCTTCACATCGTTAGACCATTATACACATAGAGATTCATGTATTTGTTCTCAAAGTTCTGTCATTTCTTTCTTCATAGTTTATTGATTATTAACTACGCCATTGAATTACAGTCCCATAAAACTTTATTTATTAAACATTTTGTGATCTATGTATTTCTGTTTATAAATTTATAATTTCCTGAACTTCAGTTTCTTTTTTCACTTATCTGATGTCATGACATACTCTTCCCATTTCAATTTTTAAATCACAATTGTTGTGAAATTTAATCCCAAATAGATAGATGCAAATGCTTTTATCACTTTTTTCTGGAAACACCATCTAACGATATGTAACAGTATGTGTGTGCAAACATGGGGGTGGGTGCTGCTGGGTGTGTGTGCACGTGTGATGCTCTTGTATATTTCTGAGCATTTTCCCCCAATTTTTTTTTTATTTTTCAGGATTTCAAGATGCAAAATGAGTAATTTGAGTCCATCCCCACCTATCTGTCCAAAATTTATTGCGGTTGAAGATGGCAAGCATGTTTTAAGAGATGCTAGAGATGGTAAGTTGTTTGTTGATAATTTGTGAAAATAATGGGACTTTGCAATGGACTTTTGAAATAATTATGAAATCTTTGGCTGGCATTGAGAATGTGTTAGTGTCAAATGGGATGTGATCATATTAATTTCTGGTGCTGCTTTATGTTGTGAGAGATATGAATTAGTCGTTATTATCTGACTTCCATGGATATTCCTTATGTAGTGATCATGTGTAGTTGAGTATAGGATAGAAGGAAGATGTAATTTATTGGAGACAAGTTGGTGAATATTATTATCATTATATTTAATGGTTAAATATTATCTCCTTACTCATTTTCATGCTCCCTGATGTTGAGAAACTTTTATATGAATGACATCATGAAAAACATACCTTTGACAAGGTATGCAATCATCTACAGATATGAACTAGACTAAAAGGTAAGGCTTGTTGATTATGATCTCAAGTAATTACATAAAGGGAGCCACCTTTACAACCATACATTTTTTGGTGGTTGCATTAGTCACCTTGAGGGGCTTAATATAAAGGGTAAACCTTCACAATGTTAGGTTACAGCTTGCTTTGGAAGGATTGTTATAAAAAATAAAATAAAAATAAATCAAGTTTCAAGAATTTGGCTGTCTGGGCTTTCTTTTGACCATTGGATCCATCTTATCTCCAATAAGGTTCGTGAGTTTCCTTAAAAATCCATATGAATTTTATTTATTATTAGAATCACATGCAACGTAGACCATCAAAGTTTGAAGTAATTATTACAGCAGTGAATCATTTATGAAGCTGAATAGAAATGGCTTGCTAAGGTAATGGGTATGACTAAGAAATTGAGTACCAGAAGGGGACTGCAATTGCTGTTGCAGAAGCCCTCTCAAGATTGCATAATTTCAGACATATTATGATGTTAATAGTTCCTTTTTAGGATTTGTCTGATGAAATTAAATCTTCTCATATTAAGATCCTAGCATGTTGCATTTTTCAATAAAATGGCAATACCTGCAACTTGCATGTTTCTCTAAGATGACATGAGGAGGAGGAGTCGCTGTCTACCCCAACCCCTCAGCTGGAATTAGATCTACGATCTATATCCCAAAACCTACCCACCGCCACCAAGTACTCAGCCTCCCCACTCACCTGTCCCCTGATCATTTTCTCAGTGATCCAAGACGTCCATTTCGAAGGCTAAGCAGTCTCTGAAAGCCTCTTTCTCCCAGCCACCATCCCCTCTTCCACTCCAGCTCTCCCCGGTGGGTGCCTCCTCGCCACAGACCCTTCTCCGTTTCTCCCCTTCCGTATATCTACCCCACCCGTGGAGACAGAGCAGCTCAAACCTAAACTTTTGGCATCCCTGGTGGGAAGGTTCCAACCCAGACGAGATGATGTCAGAGGAATTGAAAGATGGGCCTAATGCCTTTGGGGGGAGCCTAACCTTACTTGCAGACGTCTTTCCAGTGGTGACTTCCTCTTTTCCTTCCTGTCGCCAGAATATTATTTAGGAGCCCATCTCCACAAACTTCATAGGGGTCACCTACTACCTTCGTGCTTGGTCTCCAAAAGAAGGGTCCTTTAGGAAACAGAGAATCTGGCTCACCTTGGACCACGTCCCTCTTCACGCATGGTCTCCATCCACTTTCAGGAGAATCGCAGAAGCCTATAGTAACCTGATTACTATCCATTGGAAATCTCTAAAAATGCTCCCTCTCGGATCCATTCGTCTCCTCCTGGACGTCTTGGACACCAGCCTTATTCCAACAAGAATCTGGCTAGAAGTAGACAATCGTTACTTCCCGGTCTCACTTTCGTGGTCGGCGGCCTCTCCACTCTCTCCCCACTTCTTCAACCCTTTGGAACCTACTCAGCCAAAGGATGACTCCTCTAAGCCCTGAATCACTGTGTCGAGAAAAGTCTGCCACCTCAAGAGGCACTGCCGGCAGCCTCCCCTCGGTCCGGTGCCCCTCAGGGTGCTCCACCAGGGCTTTCCTCCCAAATCACAAGGGGCAGCCATTTGGTGACCACGTGTTGACAGCCTCGGTCAGTCACAAAAGAGGGGTCATTCCATTGAGCAGGCAAAGCAGCCTAAAGGTGCTCCCCATCTATGACAGGCTCAGGCTCTGAAGGCAGTGTGCTAGTCGACCCCATCTCCTCCTCTCCTGTCCCCTCATCAACCCCCCCTCGTCGACCCGGCAAAGAAGTCATAGTGGACTGTGAACCCTCTCCTTCGACTCAATCATCGGGCCACCATGACAGACCCGACCCATCCAAGCTGAACTCTCTTTAGCCAGAGGTTCCAATGTGTCAGGCACACATCCCTAGTCTCTTGCCAGATTGCTTGACACTTACGCCAACGACCTATACTCCCTTCTGTCTCTCGTCCCACTTGCTTGCCACGTACCACCTCGCACCGCCCCTCTTTGACACCTGTCGCCATCGCCCAACCCGCTCTCGTCCACGTCTTCTCTCTCGCCCACTCCTTTCTTTTCATCACCGCCCCTGTCCTTGCTCCAGCCGCCCTCTTTACCTACCTCCTCTCCCTAGCCATTAATCGAAGAGCCACCGCTCTTCCCCTCTCTTTCCGGCGGCGACACTTGGCCTTCTCCGCTGCGTCGTGACCCTGACCAATTAATGGTCTCGTTTGTCCACTCTTTTTTCTCCCTTAGTTTATCCTAACGTCCCTTCGGCCGCTTCTCCTTCTCCCCTCTTCCTGGCACCCTCCCCCACCCCTCAGATTTTAGAAGCCCACCCTACCTCTACTTCCCTTCCTGCAAACCCTGACCAGGAGCCCACTCTATCGGACCTGCACCCCCTACTTCTCCTTTACCACCTAGCCTTTCTCAGCCCCTGGAGCTGCTTCCCTCGCCTAATACCCTATCCTCTCCTCCCCTTCTCTCTTTGACGTTCTTTCCTTTCCACCTTGAAGAGGAGGTAGAACCTGCTCAGCCCCTCAAGCCTTCGGACCCCCTCTCTCATCCTATTGGAATGGACAAACACCAGCTCCCTTATGGTATAGTGGCTGTACACTCCATGGATCCCTCTCCCCCTGACCCAGCTTTAATCTCTTCTCTACTAGCCCCTCACCTTTGTTATACCCCTCACCTAGTCCACATTTGCAGAGTCCGAACTCTGCAATTTACCTATCCACCCCCCTTTCATTGGCCTTATACCTCTTATGCATCCCCCCAATCCCCCCAATTCCTCACCTATCTACCCCCCTCGTTTTACACTGGAACTTTCCCCTTTAGCCCCTTCCTTCACCCTGCTCCTTCAACCCCCTTTTTCCATAGTGTCCCATCCACATCTTCTTCGACCTTGGTCCAGGTCTGTTGAGCCCCTGTCCTCCTACCTTAGCAGAGTCACCCCAAGATGACATGCCTACTCTCCCTTCTCACCCCTCTATTTCGGCTTCCCTCAACTCTATTAACCTCCCCGCCCCTTCCTCCCCCTCTAACTTTGATCCACTTCCAACCTTGCCTCCAGATCTCTACCCCATCAACCCTTCTCTTCCTCTGGGTGTACCTAATTTTGAGTCGATTGAGGCACCAACCCCGCCCATCTCTCCCGGCAAATGACAACATCGAGGAGGTCGACGGGGATGGGAAAAACAATGATTTGGACATGATGAAGGAAATTTACCGGATCATGGGGTTCCAACACGTTGGCTTTGAAGGACCGACTCACAAATTTCTACTCGTAGACGCGCAAAGCCGCTTGAAGGTGAGATTCAAAAGACAAAGGGAACTTCTCAACCTTTTCTCCTCAATCTCCTACACGGGACAGCCTTTAGATGGCCTCTCGGCCCAACCCCCTCTCCATATCCGAGGAGGTTTGCTAGACTAGCCTCCTCCTTCGCCCCCACCTCCGCAACATGAAGATTCTTACATGGAACGTAAGAGGTTTGGGACAGTCGTCCAAAAGGGAGGTAGTTAAGGACTTGACCTTAAAACACCTCCCCATGATACTTGCCCTCACAGAAACTAAACAACTAGAGCCTACCCTCCAACTCATTCGCCAAGTCTGGGGTAGAAGGCCCTGTTAGTGGGTCTATCTGCTTGTGGACGAGGCATCAGGGGGTATATGGGTGATCTGGAACCCATCAGAATACATCCTCCCCTCTTCCCACCTAGGGGAGTTCTCCGTCACCGTACTTCTCTGTCGCATATCAGACTCCATGGAAATTCTCAGCCAGTTACGGCCCTAACTCAGCCTCTCTTAGACCACAACTCTGGGCAGAATTGGACCACGTCGCTTCCCTACCCCATCCTGCTTGGTGTATGGGTGGGGACTTCAACATCACAAGATGGTCATATGAGAGGAACTCCAAGCCCACAATCTCTCAGGGAATTAGGGACTTCTCGGACTTCATTTTCCGTAATGTACCCCTAGAGATCCCGCTTCAAGAAAACCGTTTTACTTGGTCCAATCACTCACCCCAACCATCCCTCTCTAAACTAGACAGATTCCTTCTTTCTTTGAATTGAGAGGAACACTTTCTGGGCTCTCATGCCATGGCCTTACCTAAACCCACCACTGACCACTGCCCCATCCTCCTGGATACCTTAGCAGTTAGGAGAGGACTGAAGCCTTTTAGATTCGAATTAGCCTGGTTTCAAGAGGAGTCTCTCCCCACCCTGATTCCAATTTGGTGGAACTCCTTTTCCGGCCAGGTTTTGGGAAGAGCAGGTTATAGGCTCCAAACCAAATCCAACTCCTCAAAGCCTCCCTCAAAACTTGGAGTACGTCCATTCCCGGTAACTACTCCCAAACCAAGTCCTCTCTACTAAATTATATCCAAGACTTAGATCGTACTGAGGAGTCCAAACCTCTGATAGACACATAATCAAACCTCAGAACCAAAACAAAATTGGAATACTTCTATATCCTCAAAAAGGAAGAATTGTATTGGTACTAGAGCCCAAGAGTTAATTGGCTGAAAGCAAGGAACCAAAATAAGAGCTTCTTTCACCGGATAGCTAATTGTCGCAGAAGAGACAATACTATTTTGATAATCAAAGTGGACAATCGCTATTTGGTACAACCTGAGGAAATCAAGTTGGCCATCCTTGATTTCTTCCAAACCCTATATGCTGCCCCCTCGGGACCAAGACCGAGGATGACGACTCTTGATTTCTTAACCCTTCTTGAAGATCGGGCACTCTGGCTAGAGCGACCTTTGTCGGAAGAAGAAATCTTAAAGGCTATTGATGACTTAGCCAAAGACAAAGCCCCCGGTCCAGACGGGTTTCCCATAGCACCCTTTAAAATTTTTTGGGAAACCTTCCGTCCAGAGTTCTTAAGGTTTTTTGAGGAATTCTTCCATCGGGGAATCCTCCACAAAGCCATGAATGCCACTTTCATAGCTTTAGTCACCAAGGTCGAAGGGGTGGAGGAACTAAAGGACTTTCGTCCAATCAGCCTGCTCAATTCCTCTTACAAAATTCTGGCCAAGGTTTTGGCCTCAAGGCTACAACAAGTCCTTCCTTTAATCATCTCACCGTCACATACAACTTTCATCAAAGATAGGCAAATCCTAGACGGAGCTTTAGTAGCACACGAGTGCCTTCACTCAAAGGCACATGTCTAAGAAGCCCGGTCTTATCTTCAAGATAGACTGGGAGAAAGCGTACGACCATGTTGACTGGTCGATTCTGGACCAGTCAATGGCTAGAATGGGATTCTGGGACCTTTGGAGAAAGTGGATGAGAGGTTGCTACTCTCATCCTGACTTCTCGAATCTCATCAATGCCCCCCAAAAGGTTTCTTCCCATCCTCAAGGGGGTTACGCCAAGGGGATCCACTCTCCTCTTTCCTGTTTGCCATTACAATAGAAGTCTTCAGCTGTTCAATCTCTCGTTTGTATGAAGGTCTCCTCACTGGATTCAAGAGCAGTCCCCAAGGCCCAACAGTGTCTCATTTGCAATATGCAGATGACACTTTGGTGTTCCTTGATGCCTCGCCAGAAGAAATTTATACTTTGAGGCTTTATCTAAAGTGCTTCCAAGTAGTTATAAGGTTCAAAGTTAATATGGAAAAATCAAAGATGATGGGAGTGGCACTCACGAATGCTGAAATCAGAGCGCTTATCCCGAATTGGGAATGCAAAGTGGAGGAACTTCCCACAACATACCTTAGTCTACCCTTGGGATTGGGGAAACCAATAAAGAGACAGTGGTCCCATGTGATAGACAAGGTTGACAGGCGTTTGGCAGGGTGGAAAGGGAGATACCTCTCTATGGCTGACGGTACCACCTTGATAAAAGCAACCTTGGCAAATGCTCCTGTCTACCTCATGTCTCTTTTCCATATGCCAACCTCGGTGGCCAACCACCTTGACTAGCTTATGAGGAATTTCCTCTGGTCAGGACAGGCTGAAAGAACCAAATACCACCTAATAACGTGGGACAAGATCTGCTTACCCAAACACCAGGGAGGGCTGGGGATTAGGACCCTTAGAAAAACATAACCTGGCCCTTATAGGGAAATGGTGGTGGCGCCTAACTACTAAAACAAACTCCCTCTGGGCTCAGGTCGTATGCAGTAAATATAGGATTTCGGAAGGAGTTTGAGTGCCTGAGAGGAGGCAGCAAAGTAGAGCTTCAGGAGCTTGGAAGTTGTTCGCCTCCTTCCGCTCACAGTTCAAAAAATTTATCAGATTCCATCCAAGAGAAGGAACAAGAGTGCTCTTTTAGTCAGATCTCTGGCTAGGACACACTCCCCTAAGGGACCTTTTTTCCCTCCCTTTACTCTCTTGCCTTAAACAAAGACTCTACCATCGCAGAGGAAATGATACTGTCAGGAGGCGGAAGAGTTTGGAATCCCTCGTTCAGAAGAAATCTCTCAGACGAGGAAACCAGCCACTTCTTGTCACTCTCGGCAGCTTTACATTCCATTTTCGTCTCTACATAAGGGAGGGACTCCATGGTATGGACTCTAGCCCCCTCTGGTACTTTCTCGATGGATTCGTTTTACAAAAGACTCATCCAACCCCCCACCTTTCCTCTTAATCCTACCTCTATCCTTTCTAAGGTCTGGTACATAATTGCCCCTCCCAAAGTTCAGACTTTCAATTGGATTGCTTGTTCTCAATGGGCACTCACAGTGGACCAGCTTCAAAGAGAGGGATTCCAATCCCCAACAGATGTGGCATGTGTTTGAGCGAGGAGTCGAATCTACACCTCTTCATCCACTGCAAGCTAGCTCACAACCTTTAGAGTCAATTATTGCAGCCATTTGGTTTCCAATGGGTTACTTCACTGACGGTCAAGGCCCTAATTTCCTCGGAACATGCGTCACATTGGTCGAAGGCCGGAAGAACCTTATGGAAGGCTGTCATCGCCGCTTCCATATGGGTGATCTGGGTAGAAAGGAATAGCAAAATATTCCAAGGTCACAAACTCCAAGTATCAGCACTTTTCCACAAGATTACTTCTCTAGTAACATTCTGGGCATCCAACCAAAGGGTTTTCTCGGGCATTTCAGTGAACACCTTTCTCAGCCAATGGGAAAACGTACTCTACTACTACCAACCATAAAAGGTGCAAAGGCCAAACAACTTGCTGCCACCTCTAGAGGGCACCATCAAGCTCAATTTCGATGGTTGCTCTCTGAGGGACCCCGGCCCTGCAGGAGCTGGAGGTGTATTTAGAAACCATCATCGCAATATTCTCTTCACCTATTCTAAGCATCTAGGCCATAAAGATTCTCAATACGCTTTAGGTCTCAAAAGCTTCAACCATTCTTGGGGACCACACCTGTTAGTGAAAGGAGACACACACAATATTATCTCTTGGGCAACCGGGACGACACCACCTCCATGGTACCTAACCTCGAATTTTGATGAAATTGTTTACATTTGCAGGGATATGGTCGTCTCATGGAAGCATATCTGGAGGACGTCTAACAAGTTCGCTGATCTTCTAGCGAAAGACGGGGCTAGGCTCAAGAAGAAGACCACGCCCCGGCCCATCTCTTTTTTTGCTCTAGACCACAGAGGGCACACAACGTAGAACATCTCATTGTAATTGGTCAATTCTATAAGCCCAATTTTTTGTGAACCTACTGTAAATCTTTTGTAATCGGGCAGGTATATAAGCCCATTTTTTGTATAAGATTTGCTGACCTATTATTTATCGAGAGACCCGCCTAGAGGGCTCTCTCGGACTACCACACATCTGTAATCTAACTTCACTTAGCAATACAAAAGTTAACTTTACTTAAAAAAAAAAGAATTTGGCTGTTCGACCGCCTAGGCGGCTGGTGAAAAAATGCATAAGATAGGCCTAGGCTTGCATTTTAGGTGGATAGGCAAGCGCCTAGTAACACAACTACAAAAACTAAAAATAAATATAAGCTTCCTTAAAAAATAAAAAAATAATTAAGGCTTATAAAAATGGTTAAGGCCCTTCTCTCTCGTGCACGGGCCCATGTGCTCTCTTTCTACATATAAGACGATTAAGAAAAAGAAGGTGGCCTATGCGAGGCCTTTCTCTCTAACGCACACACAAACATACACATGGACCCATCTGCTCTCTCTTTACACAAAAGAAGAAGAAAAAGAAGAAGACCTCCAAATGTTCGATACGAGGTATCTTTCTCTCTTTTAGGGTTTATTCTCTTTCTCTCTGTCCATATATGAAGAAGAAAAAGACGAACATGTCCTCTAAGTGTTCGACACGACGCTTCCTTCTCACACAAATGGACCCATATGCTTTCTCTCTCTCTCTCTCTCTCTCACTCTAGATATAAGAAAAAAGAAAACCTTTAAATGTTTTTTGCGAGGCCTCACACACACACTAATACACCATGTCTGTCCAACAACCTAGGCAGTCAGGATCCCTAGCTGCCGAGGCAACTGCCTCCGCCTTCTTGAACCTTGTTAAAAATCATCTTAACCATCCCATGGAGGGAAGTAGATTGTCTTCTCTTTGGCTACCTGAGGGAGGTATACTCCCAAGGTCTCTCATCGGGGAGAGATACACTTATGATTGGAGAATATATGACTTTCGATTGTCTTTATGAAAATAAATATTAAAAACTTAAGGCACCCTCTTAAGTTTCTCTTGGGTTATACATCTTGTGTTGCATTAGGGCATCGATGGTTCGGTGTTGGTCCTATTGTGGGTATGTTTGAGTAAGGTGGGCTTGCGGAGGACCGTAGAGAGTGGGGCCACGACCATAGGTTGCGAGTGCCACTTTGGTTGGAGTCTGCTCAACACCTTGAAAAGAGAAAGAATTTCCGATATCAAGCTGGCTACAAAAGAATCGAAAAACGAAACAAAAATATACATAACCATAGTCTCCTGGACAAACAAGTCCCCAAATACATATAACAGTCTAAAACATTACATATAGGTCCAAGGCACAAAAGGCCCAACATCAAGACATAATGAAATCAAAATGGACTATATGGCCAGACTGTCAACCAAAATATACACTGCAAAATAGAGCTTCAACAGATGGGGGGTAAGGACCCCAAGCACGACCACCAAGACATGCCACTCCAATTACGGTTGGCTATCACTCTCCATGGATGAAAAAATTAACAGAGTGTGCTGTAAAGCTCAGTAAATAAGATCTAGGTGCCATGCATTCATACTTACAAATATTTTGTCATGTCAAAAATCAGGGTTTTAAGCAAAGTCTTGTAAAACCTGGAATCATGTCTCAAATTCATATTTAAACATACTTGTCGTGCATGATTTATTTCATGGTAGAGTAATAACTGATCAGATTAATCAGCTATGATTGTACTAAGAAGTCAATCAAATCATTCAGGCATGAGCATTATAACAGATCAAAACATTTAGGCATGAGCATCATAACATATCAAAACACTTAAGCATGCATATAACCTGCATAATCAAGATCAAGAGATATTAAATAACTCTTAAAGTAGAAGCCCACCCATCAGACCAATCAAATCCGGATGCGTAGAGCCTCGACCATCACCATCAGGAGAGAAGCACCACCAATGGGTAAATCCGTTGCGTAGTGCCTCACACATGCACACGGTCCCCAACGCGTTTTGGGGCTTTTGATAGGCACTGGCCTTACAAGACATGACCCTTTTATGTGCCCTTCTGGGGAGAGAGCCTTACATTATCAAAGGGGTCCCAATGAGCAGTGCCTCACATACGTTTTGAGGGAGCGACTACCCAAATACACACACTCTTAACTCTCATCCTATCATTGAGAGCAGAGAAATATCACCGCTGCCGGCACAAATATCTCATCAGATCATAACAGAAGCATGTCTATATGTGCACATATCTTATTGAAAGCATGCTACCATGCACACATATCTTATCAGAAGCATGTTACCATGCACACATATCTTATCAGAAGCATGTCACCATGCATAGATCATATAACAGAAGCATGTCTCCATGTGCACATATCTTATCAGAAGCATGTTACCATACACACATATTTTATCAGAAGCATGTCACTATACGTGGATCATATAACAAAAGCATGTCTCCATGAACGCGAATCATATTAGAAGCATATCATACATATAATCACAAGAAACATCAACATGTCCAGAGCATGCTATACATATAATTACAAGAAACATCACTATCATATTATCATGCTTATCAGCTCAATAGACATTATCATGTCAATAACATATTATATATCAATGTAATAGACATCGCTATATCATATTATCATGCTTATCAATTCAATAAACATTATCATGTCAATGTCATGCTATATATCAATGCAATAGATATCATTATGTAATATTATCATGCTTATCAGTTCAAGAGACATTATCATGTCAATAGCATGCTATATATCAGTGCGATAGATATCACTATGTCATATTATCATGCTTATCAGCTCAAGAGACATTATCATGTCAATAGCATGCTATATATCAATGTAATAGACATCACTGTGTCATATTATCATGCTTATCAATTCAAGAGACACTATCATGTCAATATCATGCTATATATCAATGCGATAGATATCACTATGTCATATTATCATGCTTATCAGCTCAAGAGACATTATCATGTCAATAGCATGCTATATATCAATGTAATAGACATCACTATGTCATATTATCATGCTTATCAATTCAAGAGGCACTATCATGTCAATATCATGCTATATATCAATGTAATAGACATTACTATGTCATATTGTCATGCTTATCAATTCATGAGACATTATCATGTCAATATCATGTTATATATCAATGTAATAGACATCACTATATCATATTACTGGTTTTTCGGATGAACATTGTCCACCTTTAAAGGCATATCGTTAAATTCAAAGATTGTTTAAACCTGCAACCAATTTCTTGATAATCTAGACTCATAACAAGACAACTTTCATATAGAAAGTAACTCCAGATATTGGTGTAAAGTTTGTCAAATTATGTGATTTTCCCGAATGAAATTTCCATTTTGCGCAGCAGAAAATCCAGGGTGACACCCTACTAGAAAAATGACAAACCATAAGGAATTTTATTATGAGTTCAAAACCAGTTTTAAACTAGACTCATCTAACTAACATTTTAAAGTGGTTTAACCTCATTCTAGTAAATTTTTGTCAGTCAAAAGCTTCACACAAAAACATATTAAATCCTTGAATTTTCATTTCACATATCTGGCATACTTCAGCAAATAGTTAATAGCTAAGGGAGAAGAAGAAGAACAAGGGGGAAAGAGGGGCAAGTGAGGGAGTGGAGGGGTGAGGAGAGAGAGTTAAACCCAATTTATGAGTGGATGAGGGGTATAGATAGGCATGGAGGGGTGGAAGCATGCATGTGCCACATGACACTCAATTGATCATGCATGAAGAGAGAGAAAGCATACATGAGGAACACAATAATGGGGGTGGAAGCATACATGTACCACATGACACTCAAGTGATTATGCATGAGAAGAGAGAAGACATGCATGAGGAACACAATGATATGGGTGGAAGCATGCATGTGCAACATGGCACTCAAGTGATTATACATGAGGAGAGAATGTGCATGTGTGTAATCATTGTGTGGGAGGCATGCATGATTTAATCATGTGCATTGGGATGGTGTCTTTATGGGAATTTGTGCATAGCACATTGGGATGCTTGCAGAAAATATTTGGAGTACGGGTCATGACTTTTTGGCGGTAGCTCGGATTTGAGTGATTTACATACCATCGGAAAGCTCGTGATCCCTACAATAACACTGTACCACTCAAAACACCAGACATAGGTTATTCAACAAGTCGAAAAAGAAATATGAGGGAAGCATTAGTAGGAAAGGATTCAGGATGCAAACATGATCAACGACCAGAAAAGTCTCGGACCCTACATTGTGTCCCTTTTATGAGTTGTTATAAAATCGTTTCATCAGCATTCTATTCTTATTTCATGGTTTTCTATATGTTTTAACTCATGTGGAGGATGCATGCGTGGCATAGTGTTTTTGCTTGGGGATGGAAGTTTTCTGTTATGTTGATGGTTTCCCTTCTATAACTAGGTTGAGAATGGAAATGTGGTCCAATTTTAATTACTTCATATGTGGTTGTTAATTTGATAGTGGAGTAAACAAGTTTTTATTTATTATGGCATATTTACCCCAATATTGCATGCTTAGTTTCATAATCCCAGTACTGACATGTGTTATTTTACACTTATGTTGCAGATTCTATTTTTCGACTTGTTTCATACAACATACTTGCTCAGGTGCACCATACTTTTATGACCATCTTGTTGCTGTCACAATGATTTGTGATGTTCCAATCATGGTGTCTGATATGTAGATCACTCATGGTTGTTTTGGATGTTCCAATCATGCCCATTGTCAATTATAATATGTAGTCTATCATAATGTTATCAGAATTTGACACGTGGCGAAAATGGTGAGGGCACTGGTTTGGTCAGACCAGCTGATGCAGACCAGTTCACTAGTCACACAATTAAAAAAATAAAAATAAAAATAAAAATGCAAAAAAATGGAAAATAGAGAAAATATGAAAAAAGAAGAAATTATAGGAAATTTAGTAAATTTAGAAATAACTAAAAAAAGAAAAATAGACGTAACAAAAAAAAAATTTGACATCGGGAAAAATCGGCCATTTCAAAAACAGATAGGCGACCCCGGATCGGGCATCACAAAAATTGGTCCGGATCAGTGAATCAGCAGTCCGGATCGCCATTTTAATGTACGAAAAAATAGTGAATTGGAGAAAAAACACATGCAAAAATAGTGAACCGGCAAAAATCGGTCTGGATATGTGAATCGGCCTTTTTATTATAGCAAAATAGCATTTTCACCATAGCAAAGCGCCGGTTCTCTTTTAGATCCGGATGATTTCCTATATATTGACAGAATCAACATGGGGTGACCGATTCTCGGGTCGTATCGGGTGCTTTCTTGCTGACCCAACATTTTTTAAATCACTGATAGAAATATATATGAAAGATTGTACCAGATGGTTCCTTGCTAACTCAGCATTTTTTAAATCCCCGATAGAAATATATATGAAAGAAAACGCAAACCCCAGATGTTCACATATTTTATCTATCCAAATCTCCACACATGAGCCACACAATGGCACAAAACTTCAGGTGCAAAGTACAAAACTGCAAACAACAAAGTACAAACTAGTGTTTAAATTTCTCAATTACATAATCATAATGCATAAATGCTATAAAAAACACAAGTCATCTTGTGTAATTTGTCATCTAAGTCAACATTCTTCTTCCTCATTGTTATCTTCTCCCGCTTTATTTCCACCATCTTTCTCATCATCAAACTCCACCTCTAGATCATCATCTCCAACTGTAAAGTTGCATAGCAAGTTATCAATGTTTCAATTCAAAATATCAAGTAATAGTGCTTTATTGCTTATATTAAAAACTTTTAAAAAGTTAATAAAGCAAGTTAAATATTAAACTATTAGTTCTTATAATTAAAAACAAAATAATAATAAAAACTTTATTAAAATTTCCTTCTTGTGGTGGTTCGATGTCCATCCAATTATGCAATTGATCTTCAGGTCCTTTTAAAGCTGGCCTCTTTCTTTCGACAATCCATTCTCGTATAGTATCGTTCCTCTCCAAGTTGATGGGGTCGAAGCACATGGGTCTTTGCATTGCCCTTGAATTCATAACATTTCAAAGTTTAAAGCCTAAAATCTAAGCATGCGCAGAATAATAAGAGAAAAATAAGCCTATCACCTCTGTGTAACAAGCTGAGATTGTATTAGACAAAGACCAAATCATTGAGCCTCTTGTACCCCAACCTGTTTTGCACATCAGTGTGCATGAAGCGCTCCAGTTCCTCTCGCAGCCTGCAAGTTTACTTGAGGATACAAACACTGAATCTTTGTCGGTTTGGAGCTTCCCTACCAAACTTCTTCCACCATTCCGCTGAAAAATAAAAATAGAAACTGAAATATTACAATAAATCAATAAATGAATTACTTGGGAGGATCTTACCACATAAGTTGATTGCCATTTGTCTCCTAAATTCTCTTGTGGCCTTGCCTTTTAAAATAAGCTCATCTCCCTATGACTCCTGATTTTGCATAGAGCACGTATATTATGCTCCCTCGGGACCATAGTTTACTTCTACTCCCTCGGTCAGATCACCTTCTTGGGAGGATTTTTTCTATCTGAAATTTTGGTAACCGCCTTAGAATCACTAGATGATTATTCAATTTTTTTTTTTTTTGAGTTTTCTGACACTTAAGATCTCACCCTCTAAAAATTGGACGGTTTCTATTCAATCTTGAGACATTATCTTTTTCAAGTTTTTAGAGGTTGCAATTAAGACATTTTTTTTTATTGAAGTTAATCTATTTGTTAAAGAGGTTATATCCCCAAAATTTGGGGTACTAAAACTAATCATCGATGGGGTTTACCTGAGGGGGTAAATGGATAGTATACTTCCAAAGGAGTAGAATATCTTTTCACTTTTGCAATTTTTTTTTGAATATAACATCTATATCATGGAATGTAAGCCCCTTTAATCTTAGGAAGTGTAGAAAATTTGGCTTTGTTGTTGAAGAATTGTGGATTGAGCCATGACCAGCTGCATGTATGGGCCCATGTAGCTGCATATCCCATTTATTATCTGTAATATCCCGGTACTTCTCATATTGTTTCTTCCTATGATTAATTGTTGTAGCTATTGCCTCTTTTGCTCTAGTCATTGCCCTATATATACTTCATGGAAAGCCTAGAATCACTATCAGCGATCCTCAAGACCTTCATCAAGGGCTCGGTTGCTCTGTTACTCTGATTACATTGGCAATTGAGGTCTTAAACTGCCTACTTAAAAAGTGCTCCACCATGGATGTCCCACTAGCCTTCCTGGCCCAAACAGAATCACGCCAAAGTGACCATGACTCTGAATGCATCCTTCTATTGCACCATACTATGCAAGGTGAGGAAGTTAGCGGCAAATCTAGTTATTGTCGGCCACTATCTCCCTCCCATTTGTATATTTCCTGATGAGATTAAGGACAAATGAGTGGTTGTAGATAAATTTTGTGATCTCTTTTGCCTCATATACAGCCTACTCAATATTGTACATCTTCCGAATTTGCTTGAACAACAACACACGAGATCCAAAAGATATGATGATAGAGCTCTTGTAGCAACACCCCCCCAAGGGTATTGTTGGCTGCATTATCCGTAATGAATTGGATCATATGCTTAGGCTCAACTTCCTCTACAACCTCCCTAAACAGCCCAAACAATGCCGGCCCAGTCTTAATAATATCTATCACATCCACATAACTCAAAAAAAGCAGTCCCCTTCTGGTAGTAACCAAAAAAATTAATTAACTTGCTATCCTTCTTATCCTTCCACCCATCAGCCTTAATAGAACACCTATGGGTCTCCCAAATCTCCCTAATGCTCCTTGTGAAACCCTTCAATTCTTCTACATTTTGCCTATGCTACCTACTCCTTACCTCATGATAACTAGGCCTTTATGCCCTGGGCCTATGGATGTAACTGCATCCAACATAGGATGAATAATAAAAAAAAAAAGCGGAGTTGACTGCATTGAAAGGGATGTCAGTGTGATACATCCACCGAGCAAAATACATATGTGCTTCTCTACTGCTTTCTCTGCACTTTTGATGGTAGGAGCCAGGTGTTGTCCTAGGTGGGAAAAATAATCCTATAACCACTGGCCTCCTGGACCTGCTAGATGGCTATAAGTGGTACTGGCTTTCCTTGCTCTCCTAGCCTTGGAAGTAGAAACTGACCCTCCTCCTCTTCTTCATCAAAATCCTCTTCTATGGGAGTCAGGTTAGTTTCCCCATCTCATCAAGAATTGCTGGCCTTTTTTACTTCTCAGCACCATGTTCTTCACTGCTCCTTTGCATCTCATGCATCACGTGAAGGGGTACTTTAGGGCATTTGGCCACAGTCCCTTGCTTGTGCGCCAAATGCTCTTTCACCATATGTATTCCCCCTTTCCTTTAATTGTTTGGAACAATATATGCATATGTTTTCCCATTTATCACCTTCATTTTCTCGTCTAACATGCCCTTGTGTCGCCTATGATTTTTTTAATTAGACCCAAGAAGCCATATTTAACTCCTGAAGTTCCTAATTCTATTATTCCAATCACCCAAAATTCCAGCTTCCAACTTCCAGCACTCTGAGAACTGAGCTCAGTCAACCAACACCAAATAGCACACAAGTCTCCAAATCCCCAAATCACCACCAAGACACTTCATAAATCTATAATTATAAGTGCATCAACCCTGCATCAAAAGAAAATACATAAGTATGAATTAATTCAACAAAACACTTTAAAAAAACCCTTTCTTTTCTAAATTCAAAACTGAAAATATAAAGAATTGCACACGACCATAACTTTGAAAAATTTTCCATAGTTCAACATTTTCCATATAAGCATTTAAGCTTTAATTAAACTAAACAATGCATTAAAAAAAATCAATTTTTCATGCACAAATCAAATGCCAATAAGAAAAGCATAAAATTAATTTGGAACATTCTTTAATACAATTTCCATAGCACCATGGTAGCTGTCACGTTTTGTTTTTTAGCTAGCCACAACATGCGGCCCTACTTGCAAGTCCAGTTTAATTGGAGCTTAGGTTGAGCCTCACCAAGCACCACCACCACAACACAAGTGCACCCACACTAGCACACAAGCATACAAGCACAAGCAAGGACAAGGGTTCAAGGGCCGTTGTCTGGTTTTATTAGCTCTTTACACTTAAAAGTATACTACCACAGAGGCCCACCAAGGGTCTGAGCGTGGGGTTTATATAGACCCTTGTTACAACATTTGAATTTCAAATTACAAGTGCCACCTGGCGGTCAGCGTCTGCTGTGCCCTGCCAGAATGGCCATTGAGCATGCCCATGCACCCAATGCATCATGAAGGTCGCCGCATGCCTCTTGCAGGTTCCTACAGGCCTTGACGTGCAGTGCACACTACCCACTTGCACCATGCCGACCACGCACGCGTCCTACACGTGCCATCATTATCCCGCCACAATTTGAATGGGAATTTAGCTGATGCCAAGCCTACATGCACCATGGGGCCTAGGTCCAACGCACTGCCTCGCTGTGCGCTGACCTGGCTGTGGGGCCTGAGCCCCTTTCCACTGTCGTGCACCATCATCCCTATGTCATGCACCACCATCTCTGTGTCATGCACCACTGTCTTTGGGTCACACACCACCATTGT